TGGAAGAAAGTAGACCTTGAAAAATTGCACGTTAAATTCGACGGGTCAGGCAAGGGAATTACGGTAGAGAGTTTTCTATTCCGGATCGAAAAGTTAAGGGAACAATATGACATTTCTTTCTTTCAATTATTTACTGATTTTCACTGTCTGGTCTCCGGCACCGCCCTGAAGTGGTACTGGCAACTTCTTGAGGACAATGCAGAAGATCCCAATTTCGGTTACTTCGAGTTGAAAGCCGAGTTGTTAAGCCACTTCAGGACGGCGGAGTCAGACTACGAAATTATCAGAGAGATAATGGAAAGAAAGCAAGGGCCACAAGAAAGCTTTGACGATTTTTACGGGGATGTACATAACCTGACCTTCCGACTCAGGAAGAAGATTCCTGAAAAGGAACTGGTTGGTATAATCAGGGGTAACCTGAGGTCATATATAGCCAACCTAACATTTGCATCTAAGATCGAGACTCTAGCCGAATTGAAGAGTGAGTGTAGAAGAGCTGAAAAGCTTATAAAAGAGAATAAGAATAGGTCAAAAGTAGTAAACGAACTTGAATTTACCGAATTCCTACCGGTCGAAAAGATAGAGGAAATAGGCAAACCCCCGCGAAATAAGTCGCAACAAGCCACTCCCGCCATCCAAAATGTGTCCTCGTCCAGTCATCTCAATGTCCCAAAGTCCACTATTAGTTCGTTTTGTCCATCCCCGTTCCATTTAATGTTATGTTTCTCCTGTGGCATGCCTGTTGATCACTTTACCAAGAACGCTTCGGTAGCTCTAAAAGAAAATAAATGTAAGTCTGCGTTTCACAAATCATTTTCATGTGGAAGTTATGCGTCGTTTTGTGTATTTAAACCAGATACGGGAAACCTGAGACTGGCGGAGATTACCGGGGAGTCTCGCCAGGAACAGAGGGACCCGGAAAATCCATAATAAAAATTTTAAAAAGAGAAAATTCAGCAATAATAAGAGGGAACTGTTTTGGAGAAAAAGTTAATGGAACAGCCGCAAAATACGATATTAAAGGTTTACATCAGAGGAAAATTGAGTACGAGGAAGCTAGAAGAAGGATATTTTGTGAGGAGGTGACTAATAGAAAAAAAAGCAGGAACGTTAGGAAGATTCAAAAAATTAGGGAAAAGAGGAAAACTCTTAGAAGAATTCATAGTAAAATTATATCAACAATAGTAACGTTAAAAGGGGACAACAGATTTTTTGCGAAGACTTAGATAGGGGGAAAAGAAGTGCTCGCGCTTCTAGATTCAGGGGCAGGCGCAAGTTGTCTGGGAAAAGATGCAGATGTCCTTCTCCAAGGCAAGGAAAACCTGATTATGCCAATCAGGGGACAGAACATACGGACTGCGAACGGGGGAGAAACGGCTGTGATAGGCGTCATCACACTACCGGTCCAATGGGACAATATGACAAAGGACCTGGAGTTTTTAATTGTGCCCGGTCTACAACAGGAAGTTTACTTCGGAGTCGATTTTTGGCAAGCGTTTGGTCTAAAGGTTGTTAGTAGCGGATTAAGTGCAAACAGTGCCGTCGTGTCAGAGCTCGTACCCGCCGAGGGGGATCTATCGTTTGATGCAGTACAACACACTCTCACACCTGATCAAGAGCTGGCTTTGGAACGAGTCAAGGTTCAGTTCCCTTCTTTTGCCGTTTTAGGGTTAGGAAAAACAGATGTGGAAGAACATGTAATAGAAGTAACCGATGAGAATCTACCTGTAAAACAGAGGTTTTATCCCATATCTCCTGCCATACAGAAATTAATATACAGCGAGCTGGACAGGATGTTAGTGATGGGCGTAATAGAAGAAAGCAACTCCAGTTGGAGCTCTCCAGTGTCCTTAGTCGTCAAAGGTACAAAGAATAGGCTATGTTTAGACGCGAGGAAAGTAAATGAGCGGACGATAAAGGACGCGTACCCTCTTCCACACATCGATGGCATTTTGAGCCGCCTGCAAAATACGCGATACATATCAGCCATAGATTTGAAGGATGCTTTTTGGCAAATCCCGCTCGAAAAGAAGTCTAGGGAGAAAACTGCTTTCACCGTGCCCGGCAGGCCGCTATATCATTTCACGGTAATGTCATTCGGCTTATGCAATGCTGCACAACGAATGTGCAGGCTCATGGACAAGGTTATACCCGCTTCATTACGAGAGTCAGTGTTTGTATATTTAGACGATTTACTTGTGTGTTCTGTCGATTTTTCGTCTCATTTGTGTCTGTTAGAAAAGGTCGCTAAATGTCTTAGGGATGCCAAGTTAACCATCAATGTCGAAAAAAGCAAATTTTGTTTCAAAGAGGTCAGATACTTGGGCTTTGTGGTAGGCAATGGGTGTATCCGCACAGATGCCAATAAGGTTGCAGCCGTGAGAGATTTTCCAGAGCCACGTACTCCGAAACAGCTCAGACGGTTCCTAGGGATGGCAGGGTGGTACCGTAGGTTTATCCAGGACTACGCGACAATTGCAGCACCGCTGCACGACTGCCTCTCTAAGGATAAGATAAAGAAGTTTACCATGACGGATGACGGCAAGTCGGCATTTGAATGTTTGAAACAGCGACTCATATCAGCACCAGTTTTGACTCACCCGGACTTTACCCGACGATTTTATATTCAATGCGACGCATCGACCGACGGAGTGGGCGGGGTACTGTTTCAGCTGGACGACAAAGACAACGAACGGCCCATAGCATATATTTCGGCCAAGCTAAACAAGGCACAACGTAATTACAGCATAACGGAATTGAAGTGTTACGCAGCGGTGATAAGCATTAAAAGATTTAGGCCTTATGTCGAAGGACTACCCTTTACGGTCATTACTGACCACGCGAGCTTAAAATGGTTGATGAACCAGAAAGATTTGTCTGGCCGGCTCGCAAGATGGAGCTTGAAATTACAAGGATACGACTTCGACATTCAACACCGCAGAGGGTCGCAAAACACAGTGCCAGATGCTCTATCACGAGTGGGCATTGCCGAGCTTGACGTTAATAGCCGAATTGTAGATATCTGCTTAGACTCACCTTGCTTCCAATCCGAGGAATATGAAGAACTTAGAAAGACGGTGACTGATAACTTGGACAAACTACCTGATCTCTTTGTATCGGACGGTTACGTTTACAAACGGACGCAGTTCAGTAGGGGGGACGATCTTCAGCAGGACCATACCTGGAAACTCTGGGTACCGACAGAGCTTCGTGAGGGCCTGGTTGAATTGTCTCATGGTTCGCCATCGGCTGGACACGGCGGTGTCCATAAGACCCTAGCCAGAATCCGTGAAAAATACTACTGGCCAGGTATGGTGACCGATGTCCAAACTTATATAAAACAATGCGATGTCTGTAAAGGCAATAAAACCCTAAATTCGTTCCATAGACCACCAATGGGCAAGCAACATTTGACAGAGCGACCTTTTCAACGATTGTTTGTAGATTTTATGGGTCCATACCCACGTACGTCTGATGGTAATGTTTTTGTGTTTGTTTGTCTAGACCACTTCTCTAAGTTTGTGTTTTTAAAGCCGATGCGCAAAGCTACTTCAGCTGACGTGATAAAGTTTTTGGAGAAAAAAGTTTTCCACATATTCGGGGTACCTGAGTATATTCACTCTGATAATGGCCAGCAATTTGCCTCAGACGCGTTCAAGTCCTTTCTAGAAAAGTATGGTACAAAGCATGTAAGAACTGCTTTTTACTCGCCACAGGGCAACGCCGCGGAGAGAGTGAACCGTTCGGTGCTACAGATTGTTAGGTCATACGTGAAGGATAACCAGAAAAGCTGGGATAAATATATAAGTGATGCCGCATTCGCCTTACGCAGCGCAGTACATACGTCCATCGGAAGCTCGCCATACTTCGCCACATTCGGTATGCCTATGGTGCAGCATGCTGCATCATATGAGCTATATCGCAAACTAGGCGCTATTAAGGATGTTGAATGTGAGGTGCAGACTACTCAAGACAGGCTGCAGCTAATAAGAAATAAAATAATGGTGGAGCTGAAGTTAGCACACGAAAGATGCGCAAAAGTGTATAACACAAGAAGCAGAGAAGTGAAGTTTCAAGTCGGACAAGTGGTATACCGCCGGAACTTCAAACAAAGTTCACAAGTCGATAGTTATAACGCGAAACTTGCACCAAAGCACTTGAAGTGCATTGTATTAAAAGTGATCGGTAATTCAATGTATGAACTGGGTGACATGAAGGGGAAAAGAATCGGGGTATACCACGCTAAGGATATGTTTGTAGGGTAGGTCGAATGTCTTGGGATATATGTTCTATGTTGCATGTTATTTGTTGCTGATGACCAATGTTTATATATTTTTTTATGTTAGCCCCTAGTCATATATTAACCCAGTGATTCTTACTTAAGTACTTGACTCTTATTTAATTATACTTAGTTTACGACTTGACTTTTTGTGATTATATACACATTTATTTATATAACTATTATTATGGTGCTTATTTTTAGTATTTATAGATTTATTTGTATCTGTGATGTATTTATTTATTCATCTAGTTATTATAGTGTTACCTATGCTGTGATTTTTTTTTACTACTTGACCTGATATGATAGATGCTGTGATATTTTTACGTATTTACTTATTTTATGTTATTTTATTTCATTTATTTTTATTCATTTATTCGTTCGTGTAATTATTCACTAACTATACTAGTTGATGGTTTAGGGCTCACGAAGCTGTGATGCAGATACAAGTGTCAACTAAGCACATATGCAGATGTAGCACGTGCCCTGTGATGTAGCTTATAGATATATTCGTATGTACAACCACCCAGTGATAGGCAACGTGTTAGGGAGCGAGAAAGTTTCAAAAGCCCGGCTGTAGGGCGTGGATCGAGGCCACACGTTCGGCGCAGGAGAAAAAAGGAGCAAGCGCGGCGCTAAAAAACTTTCTTTACGCACACGCTCCATGATGCGGGCACCATCGGCGGGTGCGAGCCTGTAGCGCCAGCGGTTTTGCGTAAGGATGCGTATACGTATGTTGGTATACATGTGGCTGCAACAAAGTCCTCTGCACACTTTAACAGCGGTGTGAATCTTGGCTAACCCTACGGCCCGATAATGCAGTTGTGAGCATGAGTGTGTGAATGTGTGGCATTTTCGAAAAGGAACTGTCAACGATGCATGAGCGGGTGAAGTGTGAGTGACTAGGTAGTTTTTTTTGCCTGATCGTCCTTATAAAAGGCCCTGCCGGAGGCCAACGGCACAATCAGTTAGTGGCAGTACTATTAGCGGTTGTATTGGCGGTATCAAAGTGTGTGCGCGATTATTGATTCGTTGTAGGTGTGAAAAAAAAAATATATATATATAAAGTAAAATAAGTGCCGTAAATTACCCTAGCGGTCCCTGGAAGACCCCGTCAACTGAACGGACTCCTACATCTCCCGCACTCGGTTCACATCTCACACCCGGAACCCGAGGTAAGTCTAAACGCTTGGGCGTATGGTCGTGTTCATTAAGTCATGCAACAAAAAAAAAAAA